CTGTGTGACCTACTCCGAGTGATCTTGCTCTGGCAGGGGGGCTGGACTAGATGATCTCCAGAGGTCCCTTCCAACCCCTGACATTCTGTGATGGTGCATTTCAAGTATACTGGATGTTTCACATTGCTTTGATAACAACAAATAGCCGACAAAACACTAGATAGAAAGTGAAACATGGCACTTAGTCTTAAACTATCTCCCTTATTAATAGATTTTGCAAAACACTGACATGAATGTCTGGTAGTCATGTTGCAGAAGAGCATTTAGTGGTCATTGCTCAGATACTTGAAAGTAACAAATAGTTAATTAGATTTCAGCATTTAGCAGGCTTAGCAGTGAAACATATTTCTGAATGCAAGAGGTGGGCAACTTGTTAACTGAGTTTTTGTTTGGAATTAGTGAAAGAATGGGAAAATAAAATTGTTTAGAATTTATTTTTTTAAGGAGTGAGCAGTCAGAGTTTGACCAGTTTGATAAACGTACTCAGAGTCTCACATTTCCTCTGCATGTAACTCTAGTAACTCAAATTTTCTGTACCTACTCATTTGAGGCAGAGGTTATAAACACTGGGTTTCTCACTCACTCTCTTCGTGCCGAGATTATAAACAGCTGAGTTGCAGCCATTCTGTAGAACTGGGATGCTCCATGAGAGATAATGTAGCTTTTATATGTATATTATATGTATCTATTTATAGTCTCTTCTCTCGAGTAGCAAGCAGTAGGGCAAGAGGAAATGGCCTCTGATTGCTCCAGGGGAGGTTTAGATTGGATATTAGGAAAAATTTCTTCACCAAAAGGGTTGTCAAACATTGGAACAGGCTGCCCAGAGAAGTGGTTGAGTCACCATACCTGGAGACATTTGAAATGCCTGTAGATGTGGTGCTCAGGGTTTTTGTGGTGGACATGACACTGTTATGATAATGGGTGGACTTGATGATCTTTTAAGTTTTTTTCCAGTCTAAATGATTTTAAGATTTCATGATTCTGTCTGTAAACTCTCTCTTAGTAGCTCTGGGATTTCTCCTCTCACACTGTCTAGTCTCTACCTGGCCAAATGCATGAGAAATGCCTGCTCTCGAGCTCCCCATCTCTTCCAGCACATAGGCCCATACTCACATCCCATCTCCTACCAGTTTGTTTCTACAGGCACATTCAACCTCTGATACTTTTCACTTAAACCGAGATTGGTGTATCAGAAACTTAGTTGAAAGCAATCTGAATTTCATTGTGATTGCCATTTCCTAAAGTATGCGTATGAGCTTGGTTGTTGTATGTAATTATTGGTGTGAAGATTGAGATTGTTTAGTTTCTCTGGTGTAGAATTATACTTTCTTGCTTCCCCTGTAATAGCCTCTGTGGGTGTCAAGCAGTCCTTGAAGACATGAAAATTGTAATTTAAATAATAAAAAATGAAACATATTGAGCTTAAATCTAATATATTCAGCTTGTGTCAACTGAATAACAAGATGTTTTCTGACCACCTGGAAGATATTGAGAAGTAGTAGTATTCAAAACAATAATTAATAAGTATTTAATATGCAGAACAAAATACTCTACAGTAATTAAGTACCACATTGAATCCCAGGATCTCAGGAGTGCCATATTAGTGTAAATGAGTGAAAATTTCTATAATTTCACTCTCTTTGAGATAGATAATTGCTACTACAGTTTCAGGAATGGGGTACTTGAAGTTCATAGCTTGTCCAATATCAGGCCAAGAAATAGACACAACCCTGTAATATTTAATTCTAAATATGGAAAAACCAGTGAGTTACAGAGGAACACTAGATCAACATTTGCATTCATCTTTGAATGAGAAGAATTACAAAACGTTGAGAGATGCAGGCATTACGGGCAGTATGTTGAGGTCTCATGTGTACCTGTGAGGAAGGGCTGAGAGAATGATGCTTGCATGGCTTGGAGGAGAGGTGGATTCAGGGGAAACTTGACAGGAGCGCCCAATAGCTACAGGGAGGCTGTTGGTAAGATGGAGCCAGGCTCATCACAGTGATGTATGTTGGGAGGACAGAGGGCAATGGATTTAAGTTGAAACAAGGGAGATGAAGGCTGGATATGAGGAGAAGACACTGCACTGGGTAGACAGTCAAGGAGTGGAGCAGGTTGCCCAGAGAGGCTGTGCCTCCTCAGTCCTTGGAGTTTCTCAAGACCCAGCTGGATCAAGCCCTTTGCAACATGGTCTCTCCCCGTAGGTGACCCTGCTTGAGCAGGAGGTTGGACTAGAGAACTCCGAGGTTGCTTCCAACCTGATTATCCTATGATCCTTCAATATTACATCTGTCAAACACAACAGTTCCTCCGTTGACATCTGGCAGCTATGCTAGTCTGTAGTTTTAAGTCCTAAAACTGCAAACTCCTACTCCCGCAAATGGATTTAATGATAACAATAGTCCCAGTGAGGTTGATAGGATTGCTGGCAAGAATAAGGCATTAAAAGATCATGTCACTAGTCTGTAAACCACTTTTCTTTTTTGTTCGGTGACTGGACACGTCTCCCCTGAAAAACCTCACACGTCAAGGAAATTATTTGAAAGGCAAAAATATTATTCCTTTGGTATTTGTGGTTTTACATGCTAACTTCCTGTCTTTACAAACAGGTTATTCCCCTCAGTTGTCATGTGAAAAAAAACCATGATTAACACAAGGAAAATTCATTTACTTTATAATTGAAAGAACTGTCAAATAAAATGTGCCAAAACTATTTACTTCCTAGTTTTAGTAACCTTATGTATCAATAAGATGTAAATCAAACGAAAAAGGTGGTCTTTTTTTTAGTTGTTGCTATTATTGTTGTTCTTTTAGACCACATGATGTCCCTCTGACAGAACTGTTTAAATTTTTCTATGAAATTTCACCCCTTGCCCTTGCCACAGATTTCCAACCCGTGTGATGCCCTGTTCCTACAGGGATTTATTTGTGTATCATGTATCAGTATGTATTATGTTATCATGTATCAGTATCCCCTCTGTTTTTACAGGTGGGAAAAAAAATACATTTGCTTGACAGCATTATATTCAACCTACAATAACAGAACCGTCTGGTAAAAAGAAAAGGGGAAATTTGACACTTACAAGTTAATTTAATTTATAGAAATGTAATTGAGCAACCAAGACAGATTTCTATCTGTTAGAAATTTTCAGGTGATCCTTCAGTACAGGACTTGGGCAGCTTTGCAGTGCTTCCAAGAAGGTTGAACTTTTCTGGTTTTGGCACTACTTGGGTAATGGAAAATTTTTAACTTAGAGTTTCTTCCTCTATGCAAGAATTGCATCCCATTAAGTCTCTTATCAGGCTATTTCATGTAGAATATGAGTTGTGTTTTACGAAAAAGCATTTCTAGTTCCAAAGCAGGTCAGACTGTAATTGCAAGTTCAGTAGACAACTTTTCAGTTAAAAAGGAGTGGTTACAATCAAGAGAAGCTAGGAGCCGAGTGTTTCTCTCAGGAATTCTTATGTATCATTTCTTGGCCAGTTCTCTTACAAATCATAGACTTGCAGATAATCTGAGCAGAATAATGCAGACTGATTTTCTATTCGAGAACTACTGAACCCACACACTTAAAGAAGGCTATTGTACATTCAGAGTACTTCCTTAAAATTGAAACTCAAATCTTTAAAATTTTAATGGTAATTTCAAGTTCCTCTGTTTGGGATTGTTTCCTAAACAAATGTTTTTAATAACATAAACCCCAGATTCTCTATATGGTCTGGTTTTGTTGCATTCAGTTGCAGCTTCTTGTCTTCAACATGATCCGAATTCCAATAATATATCTGATTCTGCTTCATTTTTATAATACACCTGGAGTCCTCCGTATTTATTTGAAAAGTAAACCAGTATTCTTTATGCCTAATGAAAGTTAGCAGACTGGATACTATTAGTTTCTTCCATGTATTTTATCTAAGGATGCTGAATTGCAGGTGCTAACCTACCCGGTATGAAAGTCTACCCTGCTGAATAACAGTTGTTGTACTCTCAGTACAGAATGATAAGACCAAAGTGTTGAAGAGCATTATATTTGTCATATATTTTAAAAATCATATATTTTTTTACTTTTACTGGAGTTATCTTACACTAACTACCTTTTTTTTCATTATCAGTGTATATTTTTGAAAGCCATCATTTTTATATTCTAATTTTCAATCTGTTCTTTCAATTAGTGATGTGTCATTGGAATGCTTTCTAACATGTCTTTCCTTTCTAAGCAAACTTAGCCTGCCAGGATCTGTGCTATTTCAAAGTTCGTGAAAATTTTCAACTATGGTTGAATGATAATTTAATATTATGTGATTTACCACTGACGATTGCTGTTGAAAAAAAATCTAATATTTTTCAATAAATCTCTGTTTTGAACATGTTAGTGAAATTGGGGTGGAGGAGAAGGAAGAAAAGGGTTAAGAATCTTTTCAAATTAGTTTTAATTATGGTTTAGATTGCATTTGCAGTTTAGTAGTGAGGATTATGATCTCGATACAGCAATCTATACTAAAGGGATTGTGTGGGGACTAAATTCCAAAGCATATTAATAATTTTTTAAGAAACTTCCTTAGTAATAGCTATCAGCCTCAGAAAAGTATTTTCCATTTTTAGATGTCTGGAAGCTTTAGAAAGCATGTAAATATCACCGTTCCATTTCATCATTGTTGCAGATTGATTATTGGAGATTTCAAGTTAATTTTACCATGGAAAGGGCTGGAGTAAGATGCAGGTTGCCTGACCATTATTTCAGTCTATTGTTACTTTTCCTCTACAGCCTGCTTTCAGCACTTGATAGAGACTTCTGTTTAAAAATAATTAAAAAAAAAATTGTTTCAATATTTTAAACCTATTTTCATATATCAGAATATATATCTGCTTTCTAAGGTCCTTACCAAGGGTCCTTTTCATTTATTTTTTTTTAATTTTGCTTTATTCTTTGCTTTGTTTCATGTCTATTCAATTTTATTTATTCCATGTTTTCTTTTTGTTTTGTTTTTGTTTTTAGTTGTGTCTGGTAAGTTGAAATTTTATTGGCCATCTTCTAGTCATCGTATCACTGTGACGGGAACTTCTCCTCCCCTTCCCATCCATCCCCTTCCATGTCCTTCAACCAATCAGCTCCCATCTTTTACTTGTTATTGACAAGACACATCGCACAGAATAAATTCTGCATGAAGTATGGGTAACTTAATGGCAAAGAGAAAGGTAACGGGTTGCTAACTTTCTGTCTGTTTTTACACGATGTAACGAGTCAAATCCTAATGTCTTCTTCCTTCAGTGACTGCATTACTTGAACTTCCAAGTGTTCTGTAAAAAAAATATTTTTGTTTTAAAGATCTGAATGTTGGAAGTTATTCTTTCCTTAAGTGAATTATTATTTCAGCATCTTTTACAGCATATTCATCACATACCAAACATAAGTGACCTAAGGTGTGAAAGCAAAATGAAGTTTAAAAAAAAGAGAAAAAAAAAATGCTTCCAGTGAACTTTGAATGGAATTTAATAACAAAGTCTCACTTAACCCTATTTTAATTCTTCTGACATTGAAGCTAATAGGATTGTTATTATTTACCTTAATGACAATAGATTTAGAATAATACACATATGTATAATAGACGTATATACTTAGAATAATATACATACAAAATGCGTATTTAGAATAATAGCTAGAGAAACACATACCTATTTGTATTTTATAACTACTACTATGATTACCTGAAAGACTGCATTTCCCCTTATTTTTTGTGTTCAGTAGTCCCTAAATGGTCATCTTCAGGGACTGGAATCACAAGCATATTCAGTTTTTTCTCCACTGGTCAGAACCGTTTTAATCTCTTTATAACTGTACCCATTCTCAAATTCAATGGAATCTGAAACCTTATAAATCCTATGTGCTATCACAGGATGTAGAAACCCTCAGTTCCATTTGGCATGTCACAGACTAATAACAGAACCAGCCAAGCCCTGAATTTAACTGTATGCTAAATTTATTCTTGTTACTAGAATCCAGCATAACAAAGGTACTTCACGCTCATCTCCATTTTCCCCATCATACCTGACAATCCTTTGGCAAACCCCCAATAGTTTTTGCCCTCCATTCTAAATAAAACATGCTGTCCTGTCAAAGTCTTCCTGCATCTTTCAGGGTATTAATTGAAAGTTTTGGAGCTAAATGTTTTGACATCTGCTCATTACTGTAGGTTAATCTCACCTTCACTTTGGATAGTTTCTCATCTAAGGAAATTCTAGGAAAGGTAACATTTGCATCCAAATGCAAACAATAATGTGTTGTGCTTTAAAAATTCCTCCCAGAGCAGGACAGTCATAGGAAGGGTGTATTCTAATACGGACTCAACAGGGAGCAGAGATGCAACTGAAAATATTGGCACACAAGAATACTGAAAGCAAATTTTAGTGTTACTGAATTCATTGTAGATAAAGCCACAATTATTTGATCTTTATAAAACACATTGAGTGATATCTTTGAATTACATGATTCACACTATTTTTGAAGGAACATCTTGTAAATACATAAATGTTTGAAGGCAAAAAAACCACACAAAAACAACAAAAGAAAACACCAAAAACATTTGAGTTATTAAAGTCAGATTCAAAACATCCCCTTTATTCTCAACTTGGAGAAGAGGCAGAGCATAGTTAGTTTTGGACAGATGATCAGAAGGAATTGGGAAATGAGTAAGTAAATGGACTTTCCCTTAGTGCAGATTTTTCAAGATGTGAGAGTTAACAGCCTCTAAAACAGACTAGATTATTTTTCTGTGCTAGCCCCATCACTGTATATAATGCTGTCATCTATGCTGATTTTTTTTTTATTGTGACTGACATGATTTTTTGACATTCTGTTTACTATTGGATGAAGGGGTTGTTCAAGTCTGTGTAAATCAAACAGTTTGGACAATGCTGGCAGTATTTAGAATGTTAGGCTGAGCAGATGTTTCAAATTTGCTCTCATTTGCATATATATTTTGTTTGAACATGCTCTTGCCTATGTAAATGAGTAAGACGTTCAGCTCTGCTGTTCCTTTAAAATCATTCTTCTTGAGTAATTGGACTAAAAATTTTGAATCATTGTGATTTGTTCAGCAGTTTTTTTGAGGCCTTTGGCTTTAAATTTTTTGAGACCTTGACTACATCAAAGTCTCTTATATAAGCAATTAAGGGCTTTTTCTCTCCTCATCTTTCCTAAATCACAGAAGATGAATGTTTTGTGTATAAGCCTGAATTTATAGTTACTCGACTGTGTTGCATACCTTGACAAAGTGTGACCTGTGGGCCAGTTGCCCCTCAAAGATTTCTCCATTCTGACTTGTAGCCATATTTGTCCCAAATTGTAACAGATTTGTTCGTGTTGGCGACCTTTGCTCTGCAAGTTGTCTCATTAAGTCAGTGAGACTTGCTTCATTGTGTAAGTGTTCAGTAATAAAAGCACGTGATTCACAGTCAGATTTAATGAGGAGGTCCAGCAACAGAAAAGATGATCTGAGTGATGCTGAAGCTCTGACTCTTGAAGACTGATGTGGTTTTGTGCTTCCTGTCTTTATTAAAGAAACGTAACTATCCTGTTCTACATCGTTTCAAGTCATTAAGCAGATTGGGCTTTCATGTAGCCTAACTGTGATCTTCTGATGGTACTGTGTTTTTATTTTTTTGTCCATGTTTTCCTTTCAGAGCCTCCACAGTTTGTTGTAAAGCCTCGAGATCAGATAGCTGCACTGGGGAGAACGGTGACTTTCCAGTGTGAAGCAACTGGAAACCCTCAGCCAGCCATCTTTTGGCGGAGAGAAGGAAGTCAGGTAAAACAGCCTTTCTCTGTCCCTTCTTCCCGGCAGTTTCTTGAAGACGTGATGTCACAATGGAGAAAAACATTTTAATTATTGTTTTAAAGATGTGGGAAATAGGTCTAGAGCTTGGAGATGCCGGATATTTCTTCTATACTTCTAAGTCACCTGCTTGCATGGTGATGTAAGCCTTACTAGAAAGGTTATCCGTATTTTGCTCAATCTCCTTTTTGCTGCGTGCATTTAAAAGTAAGTCTGTGAAACAACTAGAAACATCCTACGTGTGACTGCTTTGAAAATTTGTTTCACCTAACAGATTGAACATTAAAGAGATGAGTAGATGACTAATGCTAAAGTTTGTTTGAACTCCCAAACAATTCCGAATTTTCAGAGAGTTTGACTCTGAATTAATAGCGAAGCTATTAGTTTGCCATGTGTTTGTGCCTCAATGTATGTGTAGGACTCTGATTTGACGCTAAGGAGATCTACTTTTGCACTCAGTCATGTCATACCTGAATAAGTCACTTTTTTATCCCAGCTTCCTTATTTGAATGGGAGGGAAAAATATTTTCAGTTTCTTTGTAGAGATTCTTGAAAGCCAGTGGGTGAAACACAATATAGCACAGCAAGAGAATCACAGTTTCTTTCAGAGTCATCTTTTAAAGGATGGATGTGACACAAAGTCATCTTTATTGGAAGGAGAGAAGGAATATGGAATTGTGGTTTTCCTGAGAGTGAGGGAATGAATGGTACAATAGCACATGATAGGATTCTTTGTGTTGCGAAACAATAGGATAGAGAAATTGAGAATGCTTAAACATTGGCTTCTTTACTCCATTTCCAAGATTTCTGTGTGAATGTGAACCTTTTGGTATTTCATGGTGCTCTGCATTAATTTGTTGTGAAATGTGATCTAACCATCATCTAAGTCAAGAGTATTGAAAACTATAATGTGCCTAAAATAATAACACACAAAAAAAATCTAATCCTCCATGTCTTCATTGAACACACTCATTCAACATTCAAAATGCTAGTGCAAAAAGTAAGTGATCCCTTGAGTTGACCTCAGAAAAGCTAATCGGAGTGAGGTGTTAGCATACCTGGAGTCTTATTAAGAAAATGAGCTGTGTTGACTGATAAAAGCCACTCAAAGTTTTTGAGTTGGTCCATACAAGATGTATGCTTATGTGAGCCTTGCCTCACTGAAAAGAGGTTTCAGAGGATCTATGATCAAGAATTGCTGATTTACATAAAGCTGGAAAGGATTACAAAGTGACTTCAAAGACCTTAGAAATTCACTAGTCTACAGTCAGGCAAACAATCTACAAATGGAGACACTTTGAGACTGTGGCTGCTCTACCACGAAATGGATGCCCAGTCAAAATGACCCCAAGAGCAAAAGGAAGACTCATCAGTGAGGTAAAGAAACAACCCTGAGTGACAGCTGAAGAGTTGAAGGTGTCATTGAAACTGGCAAACGTCTGTGTTCATGAGTCTACAGTAAAACATTGAACAAGCAGGGTGTCTATGGCAGGACACCACAAAGGAAGCCGCTGCTTGCTACCAAGAGCACTACTGCATGCATGAAGTTTGCGAAAGAGCACAGGCACTTCACAGGCACATTGGCCAAATGTTTCATGGACTG